CATACATACATACATACATACAAACATACATACATACATACAGACTTTCTGCTTTATTATATAGAAGATTAAGGGAAAGTTATCGTATCTTGCGGGCTACCCTCAAACATGCTTTGTCAGATTGGTACTTTTCGCCCAGTGTTGTTGTGCGGAAATTGAAAGAGATTGTCTACGAGTACTTCTCCACACCCATTTCGCTGTTATCCTCATCGTCGGCATGTCAATGTGAAATACGATAACTAAGAATAGAAGATGGTTGTTAATTGTGAGTTTCGGGCAGACTCTTACCGCCCCAGGCAATGTCCTTCGGGGAAAGTTACGCTTTGATATCAGGATAAAATGGTCGCGAGCCCCTTAATGAAGGGGAAAAGGGAATGAAGTAGCAAGTGTCATGGTGTTGACAGCGCTCCTGAAGTCTAGGGTTTTCCTAGTTCTGGAACTTCTTCGGGCTTCTGGTGAGGAATCGTTGGATCTTGCAGTTTATATAGTGTCGAAAAAGTTTTAGAATGGAGGCTTTGAAGGTTTTAACGTTTTTTTTTCTGAGATGTCAATTTGCATGAGCTTTTATATTACTAGCTTTTATATCACCATAACACTTAGCACCTAAAACGCCTCGGCACTCATTTTATCGCCATTAGTTTCGTTATTGTATCGGCTATTTTACTAGCTGCCAAAATTTTTTAAAAAACTATATCTAAATACAGCTTCAACGTCTTTATGGAAAACGGGGACGATAGGCATTTTTCCCGGGACTTTACCATTTATGCACTGGGAGATCAGCATGGCTCATCCGCAGAATGTCTAATCTTAATCGTGCCTTTTATTTTGGCAATATGTCCTTTAACATTTGAAATTGCTAGATTGATTCATATATTCTCTTTTTATGAAAATCGGGCATTAATTATTATGTTATATAGTTTTCTGCACTAAACTTACAAGTCGTTAGAATGGATTTTGGCTTCTGAAGGCAACATTACTGCCAAACGTCAGGCATAAAAAGTTATTTGAGTG